TGTAAATTTTGATTTAAATCACTCTATTTCACAAAATAATCTGTTGTCAAATTATTTTTAAAAAATATTAGAGGTTTAGGATTGTCCAAACTAATAGTCATGTAAATAAAAATGCTAGAAAGTTAATTTTCGTGTTCCGTTACATGTGTGAGCCACTGTATTAGTGCTCCAACCGGGTCTGGTCCAATCCGTGACCCGACCCGGAACGCACATTTCGGATCAGCCTATAATCGTTGTTTCTCGATATTAATTGAAATTAAGCGAAAATTTGTGAATATATACAAAATTACATTCCGAACAACTCTACTTAAGACACAAAATACAAATGTCTTAGTAAACATAAAAATTATTAAAGAAAAACTATTTTACGATTTTCGGGTCGAACCCGACCCGAAATTATCGGTTCAGGTTGACTTAAAACCTGACCCGAACAGAGCTTTACACAATATCGCATCCCAAAGTTACTAGATCAATTTTTGGCTTTCCAACACTTAATTTGAAGCATAAGATCTCATGACCCACCAGGCCAAATTCCATAAAATTTCAGCCACTATTCCACTAAATTTCAGTAATATGGCACTTTATTTTTATCCAACTTGGTTAAGTGAATCATGAGATATTACTCCATTTTTAAATATGGGGAAAGTTAGAATTTGTTCAGTAACTTTAGGACATGATACCTCATTATTCACGTGTTCAATCCAGACAAAAAATATACATTCGATATTTCAAGTCTTGGCGAATCGAATGGTATGCTTTTGTTCGGATTAAATTAGCGAATCGTGAGATATCATGTCCTAAATTTGCTGAATAAATTTTTTATTTTCCCCGCTTTTTCAGATTTAATCCGGAAATTTTATAACTAAACCTGTGGTTCTCCGGAAAACTAAACAAGCTGAATTTTTGACTGATTATTGTTTTACAGGGCTTTATATGTAAGTGAACTATTTTTTCGGAATTCATTATTAATAAATAAACTAAATTCTTACAAATAACAGATAAAGTGGTTTGGTATAAACTAATAAATTTAGTTTATTTAGATATTCTATATACATGTATTATTAAACAGATGGTCTTCTATGATTTTTGAAGCATAGCATCTTTATTTCTTTAGAAAACATAAAATGCAGGCTTTTAAATTAGCTCTGAAAATTCAAATGACTAGTAAAAAATGCGAAGAATGAAATGAAGAATTATGATAGGTTGAGAAGGATAGCGGAATTCGAAATAAAAACGAATTACATCGACTCTGGATATAACGAACCTTAAATTTGTAAATTTTATATTAGTTCGTTATAAAAAGAGTAATAGGTTCTATGGAAAGCATAATGATTTTATATAACGACTAACAGAACCGTCAGTTTGTTATTGAGAGAGTTGATTGTACATGTATTCCCTGTGTAGTTAATCACGTGATATCTGAGTAGTTTCCGAACTTCCCCAGCTCGCCAACAAAAATTCACGCTCACGTGAGCACGAAAAATTAACGTTAAAGGCTATTTATCGTTCGGGTTAGGGTATGGGTTAGAGTGGAGGACAATATTAATGTAAAATTTCCTTCCCAACAAAATTTGTTAATGCTTTAAGCCAGATTTTGACATCTGTTTTCCATATTTTTTACATTATTCACTTTTTCATTTTCTTGTATCGGATTTGTTTTGCCTGGTTGATCAAAAATTTGCGCATTCTTATTGGTTTACGCCACGCTCTTATTGGTTTGCGCTCACGTGAGCGTGAATTTTTATTGGCAATGCTGGGGAAGTTGTAGTTTCCGTAAGACTATCAGAAAAACTCTCTTCAAGACCAAATGCTCTCAGTATACCAGTAATAACAATGTTTATTTCGTAAGCACCGTATGAATGGTGATTTGTAAAAATACTCAATATATTTTATTTGCGATAAAGCGAATCCATCACCGTAGTATTGTAGTATTCGAATGCTTTTTTTGGATTAAATGTTTCTTTCCTATCTCAAGTAATAGTTAATTATACTTATCCAAAATTTAAATATTCATAAATTCAAAGATGAATTAGTTTATTTATCTGAAGTTGATGAGTGATAAGTTATATTGGTAAAATATAGCGACATGCAACTATAGCGGTAAAGTTAATATTGATTCCATGATGACAGTCAGGATCATGTTTTTAGACTTTTACTTTATCAATTAAATTAACAACAATAAAACTAAAAGTAATAACCATTCTCTTCTAACAAAGTGCAGCGTTCTTCTTTTGATATTCTTTTAGTTTGTTGAAAGTGTTTCATCGTAAATTTTTAGTTATTCTTGTAAGACACTCGATTCATGTGGTATACTAAAATCCAAATCTGTTTGCACCTCCAAAGAAAAAGATACTGAATTAATGAGATTATTATATTAAATAGTAATGTTACCTTCGTTCGGAACATACAAACAAACGCTTGTAAAGCCTAAGTATTCAAAATAAATTTTAATATGCAATGGCAAATCGAAATAAAATATACCAATATCATTCGAATTGAAGTTAATTTATAGTGAAGATTCGACTGGTGTAACTGCATTTGGATGAAGTTTTTGTTTTTGTTCATATTTGTAAGTATGCTTTTTTTGCAATTTCATCTCCTTATCAAGCTCTTTTAATTTTTGTATTTCTAGTTTAAGACACTTTGTAATTTTCATATCATCTAAAGAGCTGTAGTGTTGAAAATGTAAAACATTCAGTTCGTTGTTGTCTGTTAATAGATGATAGAGTCGATAAAGTCTTTAAGTTTCTCAGCAATTGGTCTATTTTCTGGAATAGGATCCCAACATATTCAATAAGAAATTTGCACCTTTCAGGAACAATACATATTTGGTATTTTAGGTCGTACTCCTTAGGGATGTTTAATACGAGATCTATATCATAACGATAACTCTGCTCAAGATCTGCAGCTTGAGTACCTCTGGACTAATATAAGGAAGTACATGTACTCCACAAATTTTTTGATCTGATTTATTTAAATTAGCTGGGCCATTAAGTCCGAAATCGGCAATGAGAGCATCATAACGATAATGCAATAATATATTTCCGGGATGAAAGTCACGATGCGCAAGTTTCTCTGTGAATTATATTCAGCCCTTTGATAATATAAAGTAAAAGTCTTAAGCTTTCTTTCCAAGTCAATGTTTCAGATTTGGAATTAATATATTTGCGTAATCACCATTACTATCGAATATTCCTTTGTATCTGAGTTTTTAGTTATTCGAAAATAATTAAAAAAAAACTTACATTGCACTTTAGAGCAGTCTTAATCTATTCTGAAAAGTTTAATTGAATTAGAAACAAAAAGGTTCTTGCTTACACGAGGAATTGTTTTTTTTTTACCTCATTTATGAAATTTGCTTTGAATTGTGTTTTTTAAATCGTTTTCTCCATGTAATATAATGGTCCGTCCAACCAGATTGCTTTATAAATTGTCACAAAACCTCCTCTTTCAAAAGGGATCCATTCGAAAGGTTCTTTTATTTTTGATAGCAATAGACAACTCAGCTTTATAAAGTTGATATTGAAAACCTTCATTGCAGTAGTAATTTTCGTGACAACGAGTACATTTACTACAATCATGAGTGTTGGTATTAAAATTTCTCCGGATAGCTTTCGAGTTTCATTACTTAGCGTTAGTGATTACGTAATAGTAATAAGTCATAATTTGATTTTGTATTTTGTTTGTTGGTCATTATGGCAGTATGTATGTACTCGGATCACTGGCTTACGCATTTTGCAAAGAGTCCGAAGAAAGCTCGAGTCCAAACTCTAATTTGAAGTTTCTTTAATATAACAAACTAGCAGTCAGCAGTGCCATTTATTTAATTCGTTAAAATTATGACCAGTTATATACCGACAAACCAAGTCGTAGATACAATTAGTTAATGAATGAACATAACGATAACACTTTTTTAATTTACAATGGATTATATGATAATAGATAATGTAATATAAAAAATAAATTAATCATCACGGACTACCGCTTGAAATACCTCATATTCTTCAACTTGGAAAAAATGTTGTCCGATTTGCCCATTAAAAAGATTCGGTTGATACGTTTGACATTGATACCAACTAAGTCTATTCGAATTCGCTTGGTCGCTAATAAATAGATCATTATAAAAGAATGGTCCGGAATGTGTATTATTATTTCGTTGACTGCTATTGTATATGCGTTGCTCAGCGAAGGAGAGTTGAACGGATCTCAAATTTTTGCCGGTTCCAAGAGAAAATAAGAAATTTAAATTTGACGCCATTTCAGGATTGGATAATTGTCGAGGACGACGAGATGGAAATTCAAGAATGGAGTCGTCGTCATCTAATAAATTATCCATGTTTTTCTTTAGATAATCATTGAACCATCTTCCCGCTTGATAACCACCGATAATTTTTCCTGATCCACGAATTTTTATCAAAACTACGGTGCTAGATAAATGCGCACATGTCTGACGAAAGATTGAATTACTGAAGCCATCTCGACTTCCACGTAAAATCAAATTAAATTTATATTCGGAAATATCAGTTTCTAATCTACGTTTAATCCAAGAGGCAATAAGAGCAGCGTGTCTTGGATTAGTGATAACCGAATCAATTGCAACAGTCGCACACAAAACTCTTGGTGGCAACGCGCTCAACGGTGGTTCGCTTCCAGCTGTCAAATGAAACGTCAAAAGTTGCTTTTTTAAATTTTTTGGTAGTATTTTTTTATACGGAATAACTTTTTCTGCATAATCATCCGCCGCAATTTCAAAATAGCGAATCAATGGAATGCATTGATGCAGGGTTTTCTCGAGCGCGATGAAATCATCAACCGTCCACATCAAAACATCATGCGAACTCAAATTTTCCGTATTCCCGATACCCCATTGAATAGTATAATCCCAAACTTCAATTTCATCCAGTCCAAGATCATCACGTTTTAAAAGCCAGATTAACATCGGTTCATCCAAAGACAAAAAATCATCCGACTTAAAGATCAAATGTGGCTCTTCGCAAATTGTTTCGAGACAATGTGTATTTAATTTTTCGAATGCTTCGTGTCCAGACATAATATGTAAAAGGGTGACGAGATTTTGTTTTGTCCAGGTTGATTTATTATTGATAAGATGGTCTTGTGCGTGATCAATCAATTCAACGATCTCGAGTTCATCGGCTGCAACTAATAATTTCAAAACATCATTTCCAGAATATTTGTCCAAATTCACGACTCCAGTATACATATATCTTTGATTTCAATTGATGCGTATTTAATATAAATATAACCATACAATTAACATTAGATCCTAAGGATAAATACACACATACTTTAAAATAATTTCAAAAACTTTTGGGCTGATATTCGGTTTCTTAAAAATGTGCATTTCCCCTTCTTTCTTCGACCAGTCCTTTGATAAAGCTCGTTTAAAATACGGTGACCGTGCACGAAGAATCAGCGAATGTGCTTGAAACTTTACAAGTTTTCCATTAGTATCACCAACCAGAATAGTAATATTATATTCGTCCGAAAGATCCAAGAGTTTCGTCAGATCACGGATAAGATTTTGAGTGAATTCTGGCATTTTTATTAGTGTTGGAAATAATTCTTTTTTTAATAAGAGTAAAAAAAGAGGCTAACGTTAGTAACTTCTTACAAACAAGCTTTCAAAAAAGGGGTTAGCTAAAGCCTGGTGAGTCCGATGATCTGTCCGAGAAACAAACCAATAAGAATGCGTAAATTTTTGATCAACCTGGAAAAATGAATCCGAAGCACGAACGTAAAAATGAAAAATATGAAAAATGTATGCTTTAATCTATCTTGGAGCACTAATTAAAAACGTCGGGGAGGCAATTTTACATATGTTCGCGCCCTCTACTCTAACCCTAACCCTAGCCCTAACGTTAAAAAAATCAACCTTTAACACTGTGATAAACACGTATCACACGTCCACAAGGCTTTAGCCACCTCCAAAAAAAAGCACGATTGATGCAAAGAAGATCGATTTTTCGTGTTGAGCGCCTTATTGCTGTTAACTTTTTGGTTGGTGCTTTGCTGTGTATTTACAAATACACGTATTTGTTACATAAAAACGTTTTGTGTGACGAAAATCCTCGTGTGAATTATATTTGCTTTCCTTTTATACATGTATTATGTAAACCAATCTTCATTTTCATTGGCTAATAATGCATATCAATTTCCATGCATTGCCCTTATGTAGTAATTGAACGTCAATTTTAGCCAATGAAATTGAATATTGGTTTTCATTGTACAAAAAGGCCATGAGAATGGTCAGCAGGAATATCGCTAATCGACATTATACATGTAACTCGCAAGTTTTTTGGATGAATAATTTTAAATGTAGTGTTCGATAAACGACGACGCAAATACGATTCTTTGAATCGAATGACCAAAAAACCTTTGATTTTTTCCTAATGTAATTCGTAGATTTTCAGTTCCTTGAGATTTTCAAATAACTTTTGAATATTCTTTAGGGATCAGACTCCAGAATTCCTGGTTCAATCTTTAAAGACCGTAAAGAAGCCGATTCAGTTATAAAAGTTCGCACAAGGAAATCACTATAATGGCGCAAAAATTAAACGTGATTAATTTGTTATAACGTAAATATGTTCATGTTTTGAGAAACTTCCAACATAAACTCTCGCAATGTTTTCATAATGACCATACCATATGAATTTGTCTCAATTTCTTGGCAAAATTGTCGATTGACCAACAAACAATTGATCCTTTTTCTTGACGAGTTTTCGTGGGCAAATAATGTCAACCTAATTTCCATTTTTCTAAATTTTGAGAAAAAAATAATATTTCCGTTTCTTTTTGCAGAATATTTATAGCAAAATCCCTTAACGATAGACAATTCAGATTCCTATTTTTGGGATCGGTTAAAGCGTAGTCCATCCGATAATCTGTCCGAATAACTAACCAATGAGGATGCGTAAATTTTAATCAAAGACAAAAAATGAAAAAACACGAAAAACGGATGCTTAAATCTATCTTAGAGCACTAATTAAAAATGTCAGGAAGGCAATTTTATATATAAGTTTGATCTCCTTCCCAACCCTAACCTTAACGTTAAAATATTTTTAATATATATCACGTGATGGACTATGCTTTAACCGCTCTCTTATTTTGGTAAACTTACAATTATCTAACGTTAACGTTAAAGAAGCATTCTGAGCTAGCAGGTCAAAAAATGTACTGTTCAAGGAATTTTCAAGAGCGATAGAGATTAAGATTCAAAATAACGGCTCGTTTGACTGTATAATTAATATTTATTATGAAATGTGATTGTAATAACCAATTTACATGTAATTAAGATATCATGTGCCTTTATTTGGATATTTGCTAACGAATTCTGCAGTTTGAGACTTGATTCTCGACTATGGGCTTTGCACTAGTAAAATAAAGCAGTTAGAGAAAATAGCAAAAATAAAAATCAAGAAAAGGAATATAATTTACCCTTAATTCTACCCTTCGTCTGCATGTTTACGATTAGCATCACCCTGAATAGTGGTTTGCGGAAGTCCTGCCTCTTCCGTACTGCCACTTGAGATTTTTTTCGATTCAGCTAAATTCTCTAATTTTTGAGATTGAGAAATTCCCTCGTGTTCAACCTTTTGTTCGGCGGCACTTTGTTTATCCTGACCTGGTGGTATTTGAGCACCTTCGCCAACTTGTTGGATTCCTTGTCCGCCACCAACACTAACATGTTGTGCTGGTGAAGCAGGAGGTGTGACTTGTTGCTGTGTGGCAAATTCTTGTTGACCAGCTTGTTGCGAGAGACCGGAAACACCAGCAGCTGTCAATTGAGCACTGGGCGATACAAAATCACCTGGTAGTTTTTGAGACGGTTGTGACTGAGACAATTGTGACTGAGGCTGTTGTGGCTGTGGTTCTTGTGGTTGTGGTCTAGGATCAACTCGATCCATTTTTAATACTTGTACCAAACGATCAACCGCTTCACCAACTTTTACAGCTGGGCCATTAGGAAGTACTCTACCCAACGTCTGCATTTCAAATTCATGTCGATGTTGAACTTCTTTCTGCATTGTCAAAGTAATAAAAGATTAAAATAATAAACATACAGACTATGAATTAACTTCAAAGGTAATGTACCCTCAACACTTGAATGAGTTTTTCCAAGTCGATCTCGTGTTCCACAGGATCTACTAAGCCTTGGACACTTAAAGTCGGAATACGAGTTTCTTCACTAATAGCAGTGGCGTATTTTCCGAGAGCGCTTTCTATCATTAGATGACTGCTATATTATTATACCATCGTTTAGCAATTATAAAAACAAAAATAACTTACGAGCCACAGCAGCTTTGCTTCCACGTGTAATTGGACTGATACCACGAGCGTGTTCAACTGTAACTTTTTTTAAATGGGCGAGATGTTCGAATTCTTGACTTTCAGGAATACCTTCATGTATCACATCAGGATTACCAATATCCACTTGTTGAGGAGTTTGAATATTTTGTTGACCTTGAAAACCACGTTGCATATTTTGAGCACGCATAAAATTTGGATTAGCTGGGATTTGAGTTCCAGGATACTTGTGCTGTTGACGGTTTCGCATACCCCGATTTTTATAACCACCCCGATTGTCAAATTTATTATTACCTATTCCTTTTTTCATTCCGACTCCTATGCCAACAACCTCTTGCATTTGTTGAGCAGATGTCGGTTGGGATGTTGGCTTAAGAAGTTGACCTTCTTCGATTTTCAATCCTTTTTCAAGTTGTTCGGCAGCTTCTTCAACTTTAGCGGCTGGTCCAGCACGAGGAACGTATCCTTGAGTTTGAAGTTCGAATTGACGACGTTGCTCAGCTTCCTCCTGTTTATTGTAACATATAGAAAAAATCAACTTTCTGGATGTAGTAAATTTTAAACAAATTAACAATTAATTTACCTTTAATTCACGAACAAGTTGTGCCTGGTCAACTGGATGATCAGCGGCTTTAACTCTCGCCTGAACAATAAGAGATGGGGCACGAATTTCTTCTCCAATTGCGGTCGAGTATTTGCCTAAGGCACTCTCTGGAAAATGCATAAGTAAAATCAATAATCGATAATATATTTGATTTGACGAGTGAAAATAACTCACGAGTCAAAGAAGCTGTAGTTCCGCGTGCAATTTCACCACTTGTACCAATGGTTTGACGTCTAGCTTTTTCGGCGGCCAGACGCTTTAATTCAGCAATATGTTCAAATTCTTGTTCCTCTGGAATGCCTTCGTGCATATCAAAAGGATTCGGATGAATGTTCCTTGGCGAAGCGGGAGTCACTACTGGAGACTGGATCGCGGGAGTGGAAGTACTAATGGTGCTCATTCTTTCGCGACCCAAAAGTAAAATTTGTGTAGTATAAAGAAGTAATATGTTTTGTTATTAATAGATAAATTGGATTTGGGTTTTTGATTTAATTATGGAGAAGAGTAAAATTGAGTACACACGCTCTCTTTATACTGTATTAAGATGAGTTTATCAATATCGATATGACATCATAATGACTCTTTTTAACAAGCTATAATTTAATCAAACCATTGAGAATAATGCATCAATTACCAAAGACAATTACATATATATCTCGATTCTTGTTTAGAATATCATTATAGCAATACGAATTGTATAACGATATTCATACTTTACACGTAGCTACATGCATGGGATAAACGCGTTCTCCATAGTTTACAATGTTACTTTATACTATTCAAGAAATTGAAACAATAAAGAAATAGTGTTAATTGATAAATTCCTGATCACAGGACCCGAGAATTTTCTCTGAGATCATGGGACCGAAAAATGGATGGGTGAACAATGATGTATATATATATCATCTTTCACGTTATTTCCCAATCCATTTAATACGTATGTGTTCCTCATAAGTGATCGTGACCAATCAAATTCATCATGTGTTATCAACTGATAAGTCATAAAGTGACATGAACAATGGATATTTTTTCATACAAAAAATATAATACAACAAAATTTTTTATATATAACTTCTGGATGTTATCATTTTTACTATTATGTTTTCATCAACTTAATACATGTACATGTACAGTTCCGGCGAAAAGTAATGGTGGGACGTGTTTTTTCACGTTTTTTGTAGATATTTCGGGGATGATTTATTCAAAAGTCATGAAAATTTGTATGAATATTTTTTAGGATACTAGAAAAAGATTTGCTAAGGTCATCAAGCATGTTAACATAGTAATATTTTGCGTTATTTGGTGTCAAAGTTGGCGAACTGGGGCTATCTTGGGGGGGGGTTACCCCCATTAAGTAGATTAAAAACATTATTTCATGCTTGCTTATTAAAAATATTTTGAAATAATGTTTTTAATCTACTTAATGGGGGTACCCCCCCCCCTCAAGATAGCCCCAGTTCGTCAACTTTGACACCAAATAACGCAAAATATTATTATGTTAACATGCTTTATTACCTTAGCAAATCTTGTTCCTAGTAGCCTAAAAAATATTCATACAAATTTTCATGACTATTGGATAAATCCTCCCCGAAATATCTACAAAAAACACGTTCCGCCATTACTTTCCGCCGGAACTGTATATATATAATATTGTGATTAGGTTCTACTAAGGTCACATATAAAAAAATTATATTATTGGTTGCAACTCGAAATTTTAGAAGAGTTCATTGTATTATCAGAAATTATTATTAAATAACTTTATATCATAAAATATTAAAAAATGCATGGAATTATATAATAAATATAATATCAATAATTTATTAAAGAATAAAATACTTAGTTTAATATATATTATAATATATTAATATTAGAAAATAAAACAGAAAAAGTTAAAAAGAAAGCAATAAAATTGTGAGCAGAAAAAGAAATTTAACTCTAAAAAATTTCTTTTATTACAAAAATATATCTAATATATTTAGTACTTTTTCATTTGAAATTTTTATATTGTTCTTTTATTTTTTATTATTTAAAGTTTTTAAAAAATTTTTTAATTAATAAGTAATTTATTAAGTATATTTTTTTAAATAATTATATATAATTAATTTTTTATAATTATATTATTGAATCTAATAATAATTTTTTATAAATATACTTATAAAAATTTTTATAAATATAATTATAAAAAATATTTTTATTATAACTGGTTCTTAAAAAAAGAATAATTATAAAGAGAATAACTATAAGTAATTTATTATAACTCTTAATTTTTATTATATTTTTAAATTAAGAGTATTATTATAAGTTTATTTACTAATTAGAAAATTAGTTTATAATTTTGAATAAAAATTAAAAAAAAATTAAACAAAAAAATTAATAATAAAAAATAAAATATAGAAAAAATATAAAAAAGTAAAGTTTTAAAAAAAATATTATAACAAATAAAAAAATATAAAAAAATAATATTTTAAATTTTTAATATTAATATTAAATATTTAAAGTTATTAAATATATATAATTAATAATAATAAGATTATAAAAATTTTTTACAAAAAAATATTATATTTTAACAAGTGAAAAATATTAATACAATAAAATATTAAAGATTATTAATTTTAAAATATATAATAATAATAATATAATAACAAAAAAATTTAGAGAATTGTTATTGGCACCCTCCATTTTTGTTATTGACACCCCTCCACGTGATTCAAAATGGGTCAGTTTGGATCAGTTCTATAATCATTCCAAATTACTTGACTTAGAATCACGTGTTCACGTGATCCATAACAATCACATGCAAGTTACACCATAATCGCTTTTTACAGGTTTCGCAATAATTATTAACTTTTAATTATCAAACAAACAAAGGAAACAATGAAATAATTTAAGTGAAATGAACAGAGAAAACAATAAGGTGCTTGTGTTAAATTTGTCATAATAACGTGTCAGAGTGATAGGATATGTTTTACTATAATTATTTGTAATTTCACTCAGATTAAGGTATTTTTAATCCTATCCCTTTAACATGTTATTATGACAAATTTGACGCAAGCAAAAATGCGAAAATAAGGAAAACAGATAACAGTATAAAAATTAAAAAATGTGATTTTTACTAGAAACAAAAGAAAAAGAATTTTACGAAATCACAAATTCACACATTAGGACATGTTCGGCTATTATGGCTAGTTTGATGACATCTACCACACTGTCTTTGTCGTCTTTCAACGATCTCAAATTCAGACGGATCCCTTTGCATCGATCCTTGGTTTTGGTTTCTTGCTTCAACTGGTCTTCCTCGTGATCTATTAATAGCAGGATTTTCTGGCACAACAGGAGGTGCATGCATCAGCTCTTCTAACTGTGCACGAATAGCTGTTTGCTGGTGTGGTGACCAGAATTGGTACTGCTGCGCAAGAGACTCCAAAAGAGGCTGTATATCAGTGTGATCATCATTAATATGATGTGTGGGATCTCATAATATTTCAAAATGGTGACCTTGGATCCATCAGTACTCGTGGATGTCAACTTGCTCCAATGCTTGGCCAGTTAATAGATGTTCGCTGATGATATGTGAACATGGAAGTCCCATTGTGGACCTGAGGATCCCTGTACAAGAATCCAGAGGTGAATCTTGAGTTGCACTTGATGTCTTGATCCACTCATCACAGATCTTCTTCAAAGCAAAAATGAATACGCGACACAGAAGAGGTTCAAACAGAGCGATCCAGTACACATGTCCTACTTTCATACGCTCAGAAGAGATCATCATACGAATTTCCTTTGCTTGAGATTCTACTTGCAATATAATCTTACGGTGTACTGACTCAAGATCACCTGTAGATGTCTGCAAACACTTTTTAAGAATGGCATGTGAACCTTCCACTCATGAAGTCACCTTGTTACCGAGATGCAAGTAACGATCAGCCCAGGCAGAAATAAAGTGCTCCTTATATGGTATCCAGGTCTCTTGAAGATATTGTA